TTCACCATATTAATTAACCAACAAGCTCTTTGATTAACCCTAACCTTATTAACTAATCTAAACAAGCTCTTAGGATTAGATTATAAGATTGCATGAAGCTTTATGTGAATGTTCCCAACAACACCCAATACCCCTCATAAGCTCGGGAGTGTAAAAGTGTATGAATAAGATTTACACCAAATTCATTCAATAGAGATTAATTTAATGCTTGTTACTTGTTCACGATTTTGTAAAAGAGATAACTTGAATGACCTAACCCTAATTCAAATGGCCAATAAGAATCATAATTAGAATCAAACATTCGATTGAAGCAAAATCAAATTCATTAAATAGAAATTAAGAACAAATATCATGTCATATGAATGAAGTCACTACCAAGAAGTCAAAACATGAAATTGGAGAAATTAGGGTTCTAGCCACACATGGCTAGAACAAGATCACAAGTCTAAAAGATGAAATTAAGTGTAATTACAACTTACAAAAACAAGAATTAATGTTTCCAAATGGTTAACGGACAAACCCTTGCAAAAAGCTTCGAATTCCCTTCTCCAATGGTGCTCTGGTATGTTCTTCTTATGTCCAAAATGACCCTCAACCCGTAATATAAAAGATAGGAAAAACTGCCAAAAGTTGGTTTTTGGGTCGAACACGGCCCGTGTTAAAATAGGCTAAACTGACACGGGTCGTGTTCAGCAACACGCCCCGTGTTTATTTGCACTAAACTGACACGGGTCGTGTTCAGCATGGTCAACAGCTCCCATTTTGGTCAAACACGTCCCGTGCCCACTTTTCAGTGTAAATTCAACACGCCTCGTGTACCTCTCTGACTCCAAATCCAAACTTGATTTTTCCAATTTTTCGTTCTTCGCGCGATCATCCCACCAATGCTTCCCGACACTTCCCAAAGCGCGTTCCAACCTCCGGTTTACCTGAAAAAGATATAAAAGTGTGCAAATAAGGTTGTTCTAGAGACTAAAATGAATATGATAAAATGCAAGGAAAAGGAAGAACAATTGTGCTAATTATATGCATAAAATGGGACTGAAAGGTGTGCAAAAAGGTGCACAAGTAGCACCTAACAAATCTCCCCAAGCTTAGACCTTTCTTGTCCTCAAGAAAGAACAAGAACCAGACAACAGGACGATTTCTAGATGGCAGAAAGAAAAACTTAGAACGAAAAGGGGATGAAGGATCCTAAAGGTTAAGAATGAATGCATGCAATGTAATGCCATGAAAATATGTACAAAATGAAGCAAAAGAAAAGAAGATTAAGAACAAACACAAAATATGTACTTTTGTAACTAAATAAAGGTACGATCAGACTTTACATCAATAGGGCTTCGATCATTGATACCTTGGCAACCATCCTGTTTCCTTCCACATATCACAGACTCTCAATGTGAGGAAGACCCGAAACGGTGTAACCCAATAATCCAACCAAAGTTTTATTTAATCTTTATACCTTACTAAGATTTATGGGCGAAAATAACATAGTCCGGATTTCATGTCCTTAAGACTAGATGGCCAAGAATGATAATCGACGCCTCCTTAAGAACCCGTCACGACGAATCAGCTTTCGCTGAAATAGTGAGCCCACCCGAAGGGGCTCAGCTCCTATGCTTTCACTTTTTCGAGAGCCACAAGTATCATATCACACAGTTCTTCATTCGCCATATTTCACTTGAGTTGGCTTTTGATTTGATTGAGCTTTGATTTGTACTTCGTTTTGAATTTGGATTCTTCAATCTTCATCTTTGGGATTTCTTTGGAATTTCTTTAGATTTCTTCGTTTTGGCATTTGAAATTCTGATTAGGATACTGGATATGACAGTTGTACCCTTCCTTCATTCTTGACTGTGTGGGTCTGATACATAAGCTCTCTGTTACTGCGGGGGTAACGCGTGTCAACAAATAGGTCCGTGTTCTGTGGGTTCAGAGTTGCCGATAAAGATTCTTTTTAAACATTCAAAAGCAAATCATCCTAAAGCTGTTATTACCGCCCAAAGAACGTTTCAATATAATTTTTTTTTATTATCTGAGGGTAGGGTCTCGAATTACGGTATTTGGGTCCCCTAGTTATGACAGCTGATTCTATGCTTCCGGTAACAATCCAGTTGCTTCGGTATTTTTCATTTCATGGAGCAATTGTATGTAAAGAGTGTCATTATCTCGTACACTTTTTTTTTTTTTGAATGAAATTTGAATGAAATTTGAAAATAAGAAAATTTGAAAATAAGAAAATGCATGCATGAGAATGAATGAATGAAAATTGAATGAAATTTGAAAATGAGAAAAATTGAAAATAAGAAAATGCATGCATGAGAATGAATGAACCTAAAATACAAGTCTACCCCTCCCCAAGCTTAAAGATAAGCATCATCCCCGATGCTTGGAGAGGGTGGAACAACCTAAAACGGAGGTGGAGGAGGAGGATAGTAGCTGGGGTTTCGGGTCCAAGCCCAGAAGTCCTCCTCATGTTTACGTTGACGCTCTTGATCCCGAGCGTACTGGGTGGTGAAGGTGGAAAAATTCTGGGTCAGGCTGGTAATATCCTGCTGATAGGTGTCGAGGCGGGTATGGATTGATTGGAATTCGTCCATATATTGTTGATGATAAGGCGGGGGTGCAGCAAAATGAGATGAGCTGCCACCACCGGTGGGAGAAGCATGGTGAGGATCCTCCTCTTCTTCATCATCATCACCATCTTCCTCGTTTTCTTCGCTTTGCTCATCGACCTCGGTGGAATAAGAGTGGGGGAAGATGTATGGAATGATTTGCCAATCAGTCATATGAATGGGATTTCGGAAATCAAGAATGCCTTTATTTTCTGGTGTGATGAGGAGCTTGGGATCATGATTTTGACCCACGGTCCAATGGTGTGTACCATCGCCTGCCGAGCGGAAGAGTCGCATGGACTCAAGGACAGTGGTGGTGAGATAAGGCTCACCCGGCAGTGGCTGGTGGGGACCGGGGTATGGGGCTCGGATGTGGGCGCTCTTGGCGAGCATGCTGACAATACCCCCGCAAACAATCTTTCCCGATCGGATGCGCTAAGGCGGATGAGCTTGTGGCACAGAAACCGACCATAATGAGGAATGAGGTTATTCTCGGGATGGGTCATTGCATAAAGGATTTTAAGTTCCAGCGCGCTAATGGTGCTTCGCTCCTCTCTAGGGGCGACGAGCGAAGCAATGATTCTGTGAGCTACCTTAATCACAGGATGGATAAGTGATGAGGCTTTAGCAGCGCTAGAGACATATGGATGTAATTGGGTGAGCTGGGTCCACCAAGTCATGTCATAGTATCCTTGGATTGGATCAGTGGGGCCAAATGTGTTTTCCGTTGGGGCCCCCACAATGGCATTGATTTGATCCAAGGAGATCTCATAGTCTTGATTCATTAGACGGAAGTAGAGGATCCCATGATCTAAATAAACTGAGGATAGAAACTCAGCTGTTGGGACTTTATAGCTCAATTCATGGACCCTCAACAAGCCGTGCCACCCTATGTTGCGAAACAGGGTTTTGACTTGATTGTAAACATGCAACTCTTTCAAAGTTGGAACATGCGCGAATTTTTGGATGGCATGACCTCGTTTAAGGAATGACTCAAGTTTGCCCTGTTGAACTGGGCCAAGACATACGACACCAAAATGAGACGGGTCGGCTGGGGGTGTTGGGGACCTAGATGGAGGTGAGGGAGATCTGGATGGAGGTGATGGAGATCTAGGCTTCCGATGGCGGGCGGATGATTTGGTTTGTCTTGGTCTTTTAGAAGATGTAGCTTCCATAGTCAAGTTTGGGACAGATTAAAAGTCAACGGGTCAAAATGTCAAAAAGTCAACTGTTGACGGGTCCAGTCAACTTTGAACTTGGCCACCAAAATTTCACGGGAAATTTGGTTCTCAAAGATTTCCAACTAAGAATCAAGTCCAAAAAGACCACACTTTCAAGTATTTGACTCAAGAACACAAAATTCAAAGGTTAGGAGTTGGAAAGAATTTACCGAATCGTGTGTTGGATCGTGTTGTTCTTGATGGAAAAGATCTTCTTTAACCTCCCCAAGCTTGCCCCTTTCAAGATTGAGACACTAAAACACCAAAATCAAGTGAGAATTTTCGGATCTAGGGTTTGTCAAAACCCCCAAATCCACCATTAAAATGCAAGAAAATGGTGTTTAAGATGGAGAAGATGAAGTGTAAATGGTGAAAATCAAACCTTTTTGTAGATGAAAGTCAAAATCTTGAAGAAATTGAAAGGTATTTGATGAAAATCGGACCTAAGGTTTTTGTTGGGAGAGAGGGGTTGTTAGGAAGTGAAAGTGGGGATAAATGAGGTCCAATCCCGATTTTTTTTCTTTAAAAAGAGGAGTAACTGCTGCGCGGACACGACCCATATCTCAGCAGGCAAAATTGACACGCCCCTTGTTGGGGGGTTTTATGTTGAGATATAGTCGAACACGACCCGTGTTGGGTCAAGGCCAAAATCAACACAACCCGTGTTGCTCTCTGGAAGAATTTGGGACTTTTTTTTCATTAACACGACCCGTGTTCCATTAAGGCTAAAATGGGACACGACCCGTGTTGCTCTCTGGATGCTAATCCCCACTTTTTGAATTTGAAAATTTCCCTCTCTCGGAAATGAAGTACTTTTCCACCCCAAGGTCCGTTCTTTTGGTTTGAAAACAATGACAAAACACATTTGGAACACTAAAAGAAATAAGAATGCAAAGAACGAAATGTTTTAGCGAAAAATGACGAAAATACCCCCGGGTTGCCTCCCGGTTAGCTGCCCTTGTTTTAGGTCGTTGGCTCGACTTTGTCCCCCAGGCGTGATTCATTCTAAGTAACTGGGCCTCTCCAACACATCAATCTTCTTGCCACCTCCTTCAACGGAACCTTCAACCTTCCTTTGGCTTTCTTTTTGCGCATAAACCAAAAAGGACTTAACCCTTTTACATCAGAGATTGTCCACTCAATCCTTTTTTGGTATTTGTTCAGCATGGTTATCAACTCACTCTCTTCCTTCTTCGATAATTTATTTGAGTTGATGACCGGTTGAGTGCTCTCCTTCTCGACATGTATTTGCTTTATAGGGCCCAGTGGAGTTTTTGCTCTCGAATCTTGTGCTTGTTCCACCGGTGGAAGGAATTTGGCTTTAGTGGTGGGTGACTCTACTTCTCTTCCATCAATCCACACGTGCTTATCATCCTTGAATTTCAAAATCTCCAGCACCTCCTCGTTTGTACCGCACTCCTTTGCAAGTTCTTCGGCTTTGTACCTGTCTAATTTTTGTGACAAGACTACTCCACAAAATCATTGTTAGTCGAGTTTAAGCTCTTTTCAGCCAATGGCTGGATCATATTCACAAAATTAACAGATTGAACATCAGAAGGAACCTTTTTTTCTTCATGAACATTGAATTTGATAACTTCACCGTCAAATTCCATACTTAAAGTTCCATTGTAGACATCAATTTTTTTTAGAAGTTTTAAGAAAAGGTCTACCCAAAAGTATGGAACTTGAACTTGGAGAGTCATCATCTCCCATATCTAAGACATAAAAATCAGCCGGGAAGATAAATTCATCGACTTGCACTAACACATCCTCTAGTACACCCTTTGGGTGTACCAAAGACCGGTCGGCAAGTTGGATGATCACACCGGTTTTGCTCAATGTTCCTACACCAATTGATTTGAAGAGAGAATATGGTAGGACATTTACGGATGCACCTAGATCGAGCATGGCTCGAGGTACATGAAGATTCCCCAATTTTCAAGGTACGGTAAATACACCGGGATCCTTACACTTCGGGGGAATCCTCTTTTGCAAAACCACAGATACATGCTCCCCAACTGTTACCACTTGATTTCCTTTTAATTTCTTTTTAGATACACAAAGATCCTTAAGGAACCTTGCATATCTAGGTACCTGCTTGATGGCCTCGAGGAGTGGAATGTTGATTTGAACTCTCTTGAACATTTGCATGATCTCACTCTCCTCCCGTTCTTTCTTCGTGCTCCTTAATCTTTCGGGAAATGGAGCAGGTGTGGCTGTAGAATCAGTGATGAAGGGCTTCTTTTTGACTGTTTTCTCTTCCTTCTTCTCTTCTTTGGTTGCTTCTTCGACCACTATTTCTTCTTCCTTTTGATCAACCGGCACTTTTGGACCATCATAGCTCTTTCCGCCTCTCAATGTGATGGCACACACATTGTGCCTTGGGTTTGTTTCAGTTTGTGCAGGTAACTTTCCTTGAGATTCTAATTTGCTTACAGAAGTGGCAAGCTGTGAAACTTGTTTCTCTAAGTTCGTTATGCTTGCTTTTGTCTCTTGTTGGAAAGCTTGTGTACTAGTTGTCAAACTCTTCACCATGTCCTCTAAGGACATACTTGATGAACCCGATTGTTGAGGAGGGTGTTGTGGCTGCCTTGGCTGGAAGTTTTGTGGTGGAAAAGGTGGTCTTTGCTGGTATTGATGTGGTTGACTTGGTTGATAATTTGCCTGTTGATGTCCTCCCCAACCTTGTTTGTTACTCCATCTTTGATCACCCCGTGGCTGCTCATATCCCCTTTGATTAGACCCAAGAAAACCTCCCATGGCTTTGGCTTCTTCACAATCTTCAATCTTGAAGTTGTGGGCACATATCGGTTGGATGGCCCACTTGGGTGCAAATACCGCATGGGCGGGGTGTGGGCTGCACACCTTTGTCTTTGGCCAACATCATGAATACTTTCGTGAGCTCGGACAATTGAGCTTCAATCTGAGGAGTTTGTACTTCTTTTACACCCCGGGGTGCATCCGTGTACCATTCTTCATCATGGCTTGAATGTTTGGAATCTTCAGCCATGTTCTTGATTAGATTTCGGATCTCAGTTGGGGTTTTATCGGGCAAAGATCCACCACTAGAGGCGTTAAGAAGCCTTTTTTCCATTGGAGTCATTCCTTCAATGAAATATTGAAGGAGCTGGTACTCAGTGATCCCGTGCTTTGGACAACGAGCACAAAGTTTCTTGAATCTTTCCCAATATGTGTGGAAAGCTTCTCTTTTGTGTTGCTTGATTCCGATAATTTCCCGTCGTAGGGCTGAAGCTTTCATTTCGGGAAAATATTTGTCCAAAAACAATCTCGCAAGATCTACCCAAGTAGTTACCGTCCCCGGTGGAAGGTCATAAAGCCAATCTTTGGTCGCGTCTTGCACCGCAAAGGGGAATGCCCTAAGCTTGATTTGGTCCTCTGTGACATTTTGTGGTTTCATACCCACACATACTACATGGAACTCGGTGAGGAACTTGTGAGGATCTTCGTTCTCCAATCCTCTAAAAGTTGGGAGTAAATGGATAAGCCCGGATTTTAGTTCCAAGTTGGTGGCGGCTGGGTATGTGATGCAAAGAGGTTGTTGAGTCACCTCTTGTCTTGACCATTGACGAAGAGTTTGTTCGGGTGGTGGGTTTGGAGGATCTTGATTCCCTCCGGGTTATGTGCCATGGCTTGAGAATTGGTTGTGGTTTTTGAAGGTGAACTGTTTAGGATATTATTAATAGGTGAAGAGGCTGGAGTGGTTTTTATGGGTGAGGTTGTTTGTGGTGAGAGTGATGGGCTTTCTGTTTCTGATGCGTATACACTTGAGAGGGGTATGTCCTCCCAAATGTTGATGACCGGGGGATTGGTTGATGAAGAAGTACCGGAAACTGGTTGCCTCTTACGAAGCTTGGCTTGCTTCCTTAACTTCTTTGCAGTCTTCTCTATCTCCGAATCAATTGGCAATGGCGTACCTGTACGAAAAGATCTAGGCATAAACAATTAGTAACACCGTGTCCCCGGCAACGGCGCCAATTTGTTAGGCGTGTCAAACCCAACAAATAAAGGGGTACGATATACTCCAAAATAATCCCACTATATTGCACTAAAAGGTAGTACAAGGCAAGCAGGGTCGATCCACAGAGACACAGGACAATTGGTCTATACCTATTTGCACAAGGTACTATGGTCACCAATAGTAAAGAGAGGGGGGGTTTAGAATGTAATGATTAAACAAATAATTAAAAACATAAGCAATCAATTAAATACGTGAATTAAATTCAGAATTTGTGAGGACTCCAACCCCATGTATGACAATTTAGCAATGTGACTCCAAGATGACACAATATTCGTTCAATTCTATTTAAGTTGGTACTTGAAAGTGCTAATAAGCTCTAACACTTCCCATTCACCATATTAATTAACCAAAACAAGCTCTTTGATTAACCCTAACCTTATTAACCTAATCTAAACAAGCTCTTAGGATTAGATTATAAGATTGCATGAAGCTTTATGTGAATGTTCCCAACAACACCCAATACCCTCATAAGCTCGGGAGTGTAAAAGTGTATGAATAAGATTTACACAAATTCATTCAATAGAGATTAATTTAATGCTTGTTACTTGTTCAATTTCACAAAACAATTACGGATTTTGTAAAAGAGATAACTTGAATGACCTAACCCTAATTCAAATGGCCAATAAGAATCATAATTAGAATCAAACATTCGATTGAAGCAAAATCAAATTCATTAAATAGAAATTAAGAACAAATATCATGTCATATGAATGAAGTCACTACCAAGAAGTCAAAACATGAAATTGGAGAAATTAGGGTTCTAGCCACACATGGCTAGAACAAGATCACAAGTCTAAAAGATGAAATTAAGTGTAATTACAACTTACAAAAACAAGAATTAATGTTTCCAAATGGTTAACGGACAAACCCTTGCAAAAAGCTTCGAATTCCCTTCTCCAATGGTGCTCTGGTATGT